ATAAGAGAGAGGTGAACATATCCAGTGGAGGAGGCAGAGAGGTTGAATATAAAATAGATAAAGGAAAATCAGTGCTACAAGATTCCTGAGAAGACAAGAGGGGCTGCAATTCAAAGTTTAGGTGGAAACACTGATCTTAGGGAAAAGGAAGGATGAAAGAATTGATATAGATATATAAAAGTTTGGTTTGTTTGGTAGCAGAAAGTTTAGAAGTTCTGGCCCTAATGGCTTCTATTTTTTTTCATGAAGTAAAAAAGCAAGATAATGAACAAAGGGGTGGTACAGTTTAAGACTATGAAATTCATATACTTATCAATTCAATGCAGAAAAACATGTACTAGGCACTTATTCTGTGCAAAGCATAGTGCTAAGAACTTTGAAGGATATGAAGAAAAATAAAAGCTGATCTTTGCCCCTATGGAGCTTCCAATTTACTTAGGAAAATAAACTATACAAAAGTAACCATAATTATAAGCAGATATGATAGGTAATATAAGAGGTACTAACAAAGTAGCCATGGTAGCTCAAGGAAGATGGAGAACATGACCTTTGGTAAAAATAGAGGGAGAATGTATTAGGCAAAGACAAAGTGGCAGGACTGCACAGAAATGACAAAATTTGGTTGGAATTTAGGATGTGTAAGGGAATAATAGTAAAATCATATAAGAAAGGAATATCTGAAAATGATTGTAGAGATTGTTAAATGTCAAGCTCAGGAGTTTGGATTTTATTTTGTAATAAATGGAAAGGCAGAAAAGTTTTCAGAGAAGTAACATAATGAAAACTGTCTTTCATAATCATTAATCTGGCAGCAATGTGCAGGTTGGACAGGAAAGAGATAGAATGAAATTAAGTGTGTAATAGAATGAAATTAAGAGTGTAGAAATATTAGTTAGAAGAATTGAAATACCACATGTCAGAATTAATGACAGCCTGAATGTGAATGGGAAAGAACACAGGAGATACTGAAGAAGCAGATATGACAGGACTTGATAAGGGAGACTAAAAGACAATAAAATTTCGAGCCTTTTACAATTTATAAGAATGGTGATGCTGTTAAGAGATGAGAAAGAAAACTTGTTTATAGAGATAACAAGTTTTCAGATTTTATTTTGGAAAGGGAAGACAATAAATTCCATTTTTTTCACATAATGTTTAAGGTGCTTAAGGACACTTTTGCCGAGAGGTTCAGCAAGAAGCTGGAAACATTAAGTCTGGAACTCAAGAGAAAGAGGCTAAAGATGCCCTCACCCAAAATGATTATAAGCCACTTAAAGGCAAAAATCTGTGTATATCTTTTTTCTGATGCTAAGCACAGTATCTGGCATGTAGCAGGTGCTCAACAAATGCTTGATGAATTTCACTGAATTTGGGAATTAGTCATATAACATAATTGTTAAGGCAGATGAAAGCATTAGGGGAAAGAATATAGAAATGAGTAGATGATAAAATCTAAATGCTTACACAAGGGGTTAGAGAAGGGACAACAGAGGAGCTAAAAGGAACAGCTAGGAGAAAAGAATAGGGTCAGGGTAGTGCAGTATCATAGAGTTCAGGGAGAAGAAAGTTTCAGGAAGAAAAGAATAATCAGCAGTGTCAAATGATGAAAGACATCTAGATGGCTAAGGACGGAGAGCTACCAAATTTGATGATGATGGGAAATTTTGTGATCTTTGAGAAAGTAGTTTCAAGATAATACTAACAAGTAGGGATCAAGAGAGATCCAACTGAAAGGATAGATAATTTTCAAACAGAGTTAAGTTCATTTATTAAAACAACAGCAACACAATATCATAGTCTAGGTTATGAAGAGCTTCCCAAAGAGACTTATTATCTTGGGCGTTTCTTGTTGATTGCATTATGAATGACAGTAAAGGAGATTTAATTTGCTCTAATTTAATGGCTCAAGCTGCTAATACAAGGCTTCAGCATAGTGCTACCAGCAATGTGTACTGTAGGGAAGCATTTAGATACAATTAAATTTTCTTTTGGAAAAGTATTCAAGATACTTTACCCATTTCCACCTCAGTGAGACAGTTATCAATCTTCTGAAGTATGTTGTCCATCTCATCTATCCTTTTCTGAAGCTTCTCCCTCTCGTTCTAAACACACGATATCACAGACTGTCAAGTTAAAACTCCAAACAAAACATTATAACATTATAAATGGTTCAAACTGCTGTGTCTAATTCATGAACAGGCAAATCTTAAAACAAAGATCAAAACTTCAAGTCTGGTCTTAAAAAATTTTTTTAAAGCATACATAACAGATTAATATAAGTTCATATTTTGTACTTTATTTTAGCATTTCCATGTAATATAAGATGTTAATATATATTACTTAAAAAGAGTTCATGAAAAATGTTCTATGGTCAAATAAATTTCGGAAACACTGGTCAAAGAGAATTATAGCATTTTTTTCTTTTTAGACTAAAAAAAAAAAAATATATATATATGTATATTTCTGACCTTAGACTTTAATATGCTAGTTATTATATTTCTCCAAAAGGGGGACACTGCGTGTAACATTTCCCAGACTTATCTGTCAATGCAAAGTTTTTTTTATGCAAGACCTTTCTTAAAGGATGATCATTTTGGGAAATGCTACTTTAAACACATGCACACACAAACACAGCTGAGTATGGACTATGAGGAAGATCATACTACAGCACAGTCCTTAGCAATGGAAGATCAGAATCCTGTATTGTTTTATTTCAGTATGTATAATGAATAACAAATCTGAGATGACACATACGCACATATTAGTAAATATATTCTAGAATTACTCAAGATGCCAGGATTTACTACTTTCAATAAATTGAACCCCACCTCTTATGAACAATTTTAAGTTTTTGCCCAGCTCTCATTCACATGTCTCCTAAGGAACATGCTTCATATTCCATAACCACTATAAAGTAATTTTTTTTTTTTTTTTTTTTTTGCGGTACGCGGGCCTCTCACTGTTGTGGCCTCTCCTGTTGCAGAGCACAGGCTCTGGACGCGCAGGCTCAGTGGCCAT